ATTCTCTCTTTCTCGTTCATTCTTTCTCATTCTCTTATTTTCTCTCATTCTCTCATTCTCTTTCTCATTCTCTCATTCATTCTCTGTCTTTCTCATTCTCTCTCATTCTTTGTCTTTCTCATTCTCTCTTTCTTATTCTCTTTCTCTTTCTCATTTTCTCATTTTCTCTCTTTCTCATTTTCTTTTTTTCTTTCTCATTCTCTCTCATTCTCTTTTCTCATTCTCTTTAACATTCTATCTCATTCTTTCTCATTCTCTTATTCTCTCTCATTCTCTTTCTCATTCTCTCATTCTCTCTTCTGTCTTTCATTCTCTCATTCTCTTTCTCTTTCTCATTCTCTCATTTTCTCTTTCTCATTCTCTTTTTCTTTCTCATTCTCTTTCATTCTCATTCTCATTCTCATTCTCTCTCTCTCTCATTCCACCCACTGCCCTCTCCCCCTCTCTCCCTTGTGGCATTGCTATTCTTCTTCTCCTTTTCAGACCGTGAGGATCCTGGGGCGGGAGGGAGAATGGCGGCTTTTACACATTGGCTCAGGCAACCCACTTCCGCAGGAACGGGCCCCCCGGCTACGCCGCTGCTTGCGCTCGGTTTGAACTTAAGACGCCCGCAGCCTCCCGGTTGCAACAGCCACCAGGGGGCAGGCTTCTCCCACAGGCGACAGTCGCAGGCAGGAAAGGTGGCAGCGGAGACAGAGAGGCTGGGAAGGGCTGCAGGGAAATGGATTTGGGGGGGGGGAGGGAAGAATCCATGCAGGGTGCATTACGCGGGGACACTGTGCAGAAACTGGAAAACGGGCGGGATGAAATCCATCTTCTTTATCTTCTCCACCTTCTGCACCACAGACAAATTGTGGTGTCTCATCATCCTTGGCCAAATGCATTACTTTGATCCTGAGTCCTCGAGAACTTCTGGGTTGTAGTTTATCCTCCATTCTTGCAGGATGCAGGCAGCCTTTAGTAAGAAGGCAGAAGTTCCTTTTTCCTAGCATCCTTTCCTCCTGGCACCCTCCCTATTTTCCCAGAATCCTTTGCTTTTGAATCACACGGTCTTTCCTTTCTTTCCTTAGCAGTTGGTGAATGCGGACATAAGAACTCGGCCCGAGTAACCAGGATGGGTAGCGGGAGATGCTTTAATACAAGCAGCTTAATAACACAAGACCCATTTTCTACTATACAACTAGAAAAGTACAAGGCAAATCCACCAAGAAAAAGAGATAGCTTTTTTTTTTTTTTAAAGTCTAAAATGTTTTAGCAGGGCAGGCTGTCTTTCACTGCTGTCAGGTGCTTAGTACCCTGAGCCCATTCTGGGAGATGAAGGCCACAAGCCTTGAAAGTTGCCAAGATTGGACCTCCCTGCCTAAAATAGTCTGGATTGGATCGCAAGCCGGGTGCGAGGAACTGTAACACGAAAAGGGGAGAACACTTAGGGGGGGAGGGAAAGCTCTGCTTGGTAGGGAAAGGGCTGGTGAAACACGTTGAAGTGCTTCGAATCAATTAAATCTAGAAGTCGGACATTTAGCCCATGACCTCTGTGTATGCCACAATTTAACTATTATGATTAGAATAAGAATGGAATGGGAATGGGAATAGAATAGAATAGAATAGAATAGAATAGAATAGAATGATAGAATAGAATTCTTTTATTGGCCAAGTGTGATTGGACACACGAGGAATTTGTCTTGGTGCAAATGCAGCGTACATTAAAAAATACGTTCATCAGGAATCATAAGATACAACACTTCTTGATAGTCAGAGAGAGAGAGAGAGAGATTTAGAAATAGATAGACAGACAGACAGATAGATATAGGTGTGTATGTGTGTGTGTGTATATATATATGTGTGTGTGTGTGTGTGTGTTTTAAGTTTTTGCGGGTACTTACATGTATGGTATTCAGCTTTGTTCGGGTATTTTACCACGTCATTGTAGTTGTGCTTTTAAAGTTGTAGGAACGTTTCGGCAGAATCTCATCTGCCATCATCAGGCTTCTGTATTGTGTTCGTCTTCTAGACAGAAGCCTTATGATGGCAGATGAGATTCTGCTGAAACGTTGCTCCTTTAAAAGCACAACTATAATGATGTGGGAAAATACCCGAACAAAGCTGAATACCATACATGTAAGTACCCGCGAAAACTTAAGAAAACATACATATATGCACAGAGAGAGAGAGAGAGACGGTAGATAGATATAGGTATTTTTTATATAGAGAGAGGGGGGGAGAGATGGTAGATATATATATATATATATAGAGAGAGAGAGAGAGAATGTTGTATGTAGGACTATAGATCACAACACACAGTCGGGGTTCTTCCAAAGATTAGGAATTATTTCACACCCAAAGTGGGCATCTATTCTAGTCAGTTGCTGAGCCCCAGGAGCAAAAGTTCAAAACAAGCAGGCCGCTGTTTGATTGTTGCTGCTCCCTTTTTCTTGGCCCTCCCCTCTCTCTTCTCTCAGACAAATTCTGGAGGGGCAGAACCTTTTCTCTGAGGGCACCTCTAACCTCCCTCTCCCTCTCTCTCTCTCTCTCTCTCTCTCTCTGTGGTCTGCTTGCAGACTTCCGGTACAGAAAGCACAAAAGCTCCGCTCTGGGCAAAGGCTCCGAGCTCTGCCTGAGGAGCCGGCTCTCTCCATCCCTCCAAGGCCACCTGGACTTCCAGAATGGGTTCCTCCTGGATCACTCCGGCATGGCTCCAATTCAAGAAGGGCTGGAGAAACCTTCCGGGAAACGCAAATGCAAAACCAAACACCTGTCGGGCATCTGCGAAGAGGGGAAGGTAAGGAGAGGGGTCTATGGAGATGTTGTGGTTCACCCGCAGCCAGTGCAGGCGGCAGCAGAATCGGACAGTGGTGAAGAACAGGGACCAGTCTGGAAGTCTGGGGAGGACTCGGATGAGGGTCCTGTGTCCGATGCAGAGATGGGGCCAGAACCATCTGGGAGTGGGGTGCTGACTCCGGAGCCTCCGGAGTCTGGCAGCAGCGAGGCCGAGGAACAAGGGGAGCCTGTTCCCAGTGCATGTGTGCACAGAGCTGCTGGAAGGCAAGAGCAGCTGAGACAAAAGGGGTGACTCGGGAGTAAGGCAGGCCAAGATAAGTCAGGCCAAGATGACGAAACCTTTGCAGGAAGCAAAGTCGTTCAATCAGTTCAGAGTCATTCTGGAAGCTCTTTGTACTTCAGTTGGGTTGTTTTGTACTTTGGTTGGTTTCTTCTCTTGTTCATTTGATACTTCCGTTTTTGGCACAGAACCGAGAGGTGTGTGCTTATCTCGGGGATTGAGATTAATTCTGGCTGAGAATGAAAGCAATTCCCAGTGTGGCAATAAAATAAATCTTGTTTTTAAAATAAGCGTGTGCGTAACTACGGTTTAGGAAGCCTGGGTCAGAACAGGAGATTCTCCGTCATCCAGGTCCTAGATTGCCCCAAAGGTGCTTTTTTTTCCAAGATTTTCCTTGAAGACGCTTCGCTTCTCATCCAAGATGCCTGAATTTAGGAATTAGAATGGCTCTGAGTTCGTTTTATGGTGATTGCATTGCTTGGAACCTGACAAGAAGCTTCTTCGGTTCTGAAGTGAAGGGATGAGAAGCAAAACGTCTTCAAGGAAAAACAACATCCAGTTGCCTTTTGAGGAAAAAAAAGCACCTTTGGGGTACGGAGCGATGTTGGGAATGGGATGGTCAGGATGACCAAATTGGGGATTCGGGCACATAGATATCATTTGATGGCTATATTTACCCATTGACTGTATTTCTATACGGCCATTCTTCCAAATGCTTCAGGTTAGTTTACACCAGGGGTGTCCAACCTTGGCAACTTTAAGACTTGTGGACTTCAACTCCCAGAATTCCACAAGTCTTAAAGTTGCCAAGGTTGGACACCCCTGGTTTACACTGTCAATACAGAATAAAACCATTCCAAAAAAAAAAAAAAGCCAGTTTGGTCTAGTGATTAAGGCGCCAAGGTAGAAAGTGGGAGGCCCACCCATCTGAAGCAGGGAAACCAGCTGGGTGACTTTGAGCCAGTCCCTCTGTCTCAGCCCAGCCCACCCAAGAAGGTGGGCTCAAGATCCAGATGGATCTTGACAGACTGGAACACACATTTAACAAAATGAAATTCAGTATAAAGTCCTACACTTAGGCAAGAAAAACCAAAAGGACACATATAGACTGGGTGAAACCAGGCTCAATAGCAGGAACTGGGAGAGGGATCTTGGAGTCTTAGTGGACAACCAGCTAAATAGGAGCCATCAGTGTGCAGCAGCAGCCAAAAAAGCTAATGCAATCCTAAGCTGCATGAACAGAGGGATACAATCAAGATCAAGTGAGATACTAATACCACTCTATACAGCCTTAGTAAGACCACACCTAGAGTACTGCATCCAATTTTGATCACCACATTATAAAAAAGATGTTGAGACTCTAGAAAGAGTGCAGAGAAGAGCAACCAGGAAGATTAAGGGACTATAGGCTAAAACATATGATGAACGGTTACAGGAACTGGGCCTGGCTAGTCTAGGGAAGAGAAGGATCAGGGGAGACAGGATAGCAGTCTTCCAATATTTGAGGGGCTGCCACAGAGAGAAGGAAGGGGTCAAGCTATTTTCCAAAGCACCCGAAGGCCAGACAAGGAATAATGGATGGACATTGAACAAGGAGAGATTTAACCTAGAAATAAGGAGAAACTTTCTGACAGCACGAGCAATCAACCCGTGGAACAGAAGTTGCCTTCAGAGGTTGTGGGAGCTTCATTACTTGAGACTTTCAATAAGAGACTGGACTGCCATTTGTCAGAAATGGTGTAGGGTCTCCTGCTTGGGCAAGGGGTTGGACTAGATGACCTACAAGGTCCCTTCCATCTCTGATTATCTGTTAATTTGTTACCTCACAGGGTTGTTGTGGGGAAAATTAGGAGGAAAGTGTGCTGGATATGTTTTCCACCTTGATTTATTTGTAAAAATAATAAAGATGGCATACAAAGGAGAGAGAGAGAGAGAGAGAGAG